GCTGACCTTAAGGTTTGCAGCCCAATTCGTAACCACTAGGTTTAGAAGCCTTCCTTCATTGTGTCTTCTATACTGTATTATTAAAAATTCTGAAAATTAAGTAAAGACTTAGGTTACATTTTAGTTTTAAAATTTTTGTAGTAAGTTATTCAAAATGGAAGGCAAAATTCTCAAATATGTAATCTGTTGAGTGATTTTGTTTCCTGTAGTTAAGACCCAACTTTCAACTTTTAGTTACTTGTAATTGTTTCCTTCAGCTTTGTAGTTACTCTTATTTTAAATAGAAGAAAATTACAGTTTTTCTTATTGAAAAGTGTGGAATACTTGGGTCTTTCACATACCTTGAATTAAATTGTGTTCAGCTTCAGTTTCCATGTTAAATAAAGATTTGAGTTCATTGTATATATCAACCCAAAAACTTTCTCAAATTTTACAAGAGTAAAAATCTTCATAAGAACTCATTCTTAGTAAGGCATAGGAAGTGTTGGAAGGAATGAAGGAAAAAGATGCATGAATCCATGGGTAATCTTTTTATTTAGATTAGCTTTACTTGAGTATTATATCTACAGAAATGTTCATTTTGATGTTACTTGGGGGTTTGGTTGTTCTTGTGTAGTTGTTAAGCGCCTTTGAGTTGGCTTCAACCATAGTCCCCCTGTATAGGGTTTCTGGTGAGTGTGAATGACCAACCTTTTGATTAGCTGTCTAGTACTTTTCCTACAGTGCTACACCATGACTCCTGGATTTTGATTATAAAGAATTGCTTATTTTCTTAGGTATAAAGGGATTCAATGGACCTCAGTATTGATTCTCAGATTGAAATCGTTTATTTTTTTGTTAGAGGAACTCTTATATACTTTCAGGAAGCAAAACAAAATTATGTAATTAAATAAAATTATTATAGAGTTTATGATATAACAAAAGTAAGTTTCAATCACTTCCCAAATAAGAAGAACTTCAGATGTACTTGGCATGCATTTGTAACTAATGGATTATTTTAATTTCAGGGTTATTTCAAGTAATAGGTCACATATTGTGAAGCTGCCAGTTAACAGGGTAAGTTGTTTTTTTCACATACACAAAACTCAAGTTCAGAAATGGGGAAATAATAATCAGTTAAAAGAGTTGGCACTATTTTGTAGTTAGCTTCTCGAGGAATTGCAGTAGATACAGGGTCAGTACAATTTTTCAGTTTGAAATTGTCATTTGTGCACCAGCTCCAGGCCTTTCCAATATATTCAGTTCACATTCAGACTACTGCCTTTTAAGTAAATAAAAGAGTCAGTCTAAGATCAGTCAGTTATTCCACTAGTGGTAGAAAGTGTATTATTATCTAATAATTGACCAGTAAATATGTAAATGTCGTGTTGGCACATCTCCACTTTTTACCTCTGAGAAGATATCTACTTAGCTTAATAAGCCCTAAGAAAAAAAGGAAAGAAAAGTTAATGGAATTCTCATTTCAGTTCTCATCATGATATAAGGGTAGTATCTCTAAATTGTGTGAGACCCCAAATATTGCCAACATTATTCTTCTGAGACGTAAATGGATATTTTGAAACAAGCATATTCCTAGATGAAAGGGAAACAGGAAATTTTGCTCAACAGCTATTTCAAAAGGTTCTGTTTTAATTTCTTTCCCTTACCAAAGGGGGAAACTAAATTTAATTTGGCAATTTCCAGTTTTATAAGTGTATGCAATTAAAACTTTAATAATGATAACTTTTACAATTTTAAAATCTTGAATTCGCCTTTTTTGTTGTTGTTTTTTCTGCTTAGCAAATTCTTGGAATGTTTCCTCCATTGAATACTTAGTGCATACTTAGGGAATTCAACAATAAAACCTTAAAAATAAATGTAATTCTGAAGGCAGCTCTGCTTGACCATGATGATGTAGTATATTCTAAAATTAAGTGTAAATGACTAGATTGTCTGTACTCCTCTTCTTTTCCCATTAGCCTAAAGAATTATCCTTCTGATCAGAAATTCTATGCAATTTGTCATTTATGCGGGGTTTTTTTGTTTTTTGTTTTTCTTTTAATTCTATGAATTGACCTATTAATATGGTCAGCCTAAAATTTACTATGATTTGAGACTTGGAAATTCTTAAATCAGTACAATTTGAAGTTGTCATCAGCCTGATTATATATTAAATTGACATATTTTCATGTGTTGTTATTTTAACTAACAGCAATTGAAGTTTATGCATACTCCGCATCAGTTCCTTCTCCTCAGCAGTCCACCTGCCAAAGAATCCAATTTTAGAGCTGCTAAAAAACTCTTTGGAAGCACCTTTGCATTTCAGTGAGTATGGCTTAATGTTAAGGGGCTTAGTCTCCAGGTAAATCTTCTGGTAGTAGACAATTCATGTGGTTGCAAGTTGGGCTGCTAACCTTAAGATCAGCAGTTTGAAACTGCTAGCTGTGTCATGGGAAAAAGACAAGGCTTTCTGCTCCTGTAAAGATATACAGCCTCAGAAACCCTATACAGGGTCGCTGTGAGTCGGAACCAACTCCACAGCACATAACCAACCAACCAGTAAATGACATAATTTGTGGAAACTCAGAACTTCCAGAAGAAATCATTCATGATATATTATGCCATAATCACTTTAAAATATAACTGATTTTTCTGTTTTGACTTTTTCCTGTTTTTAGTGGCTCACACATTGAAAACTGGCACTCCATCTTAAGGAATGGTTTGGTTGTTGCTTCTAATACAAGACTGCAGGTGAATTTTCTGAATGCTTCAATCCTTCCTTATCCTTCCGTATTATGGTTAGCTAAGTTGGCTGTCCTGGTTTTAAGTTTTTGCTTGCAAAAGAGGAAACATATGGATTTTTAGAAACTACATGGAATGTTTAACAGGCAGACGTACATTTTCATAAAATAGCAAGCAGAATCGATCGATACACAATCTAGGAATGAAAGTAATTAAATTTACCTAGTTAAAAAAAGAAAATTAAAATCTTAGTGTAAAACAGTCATATCACGCTTTGAACATAAGTAGGAAAATATTGTCATGTTCAAAGTAAAACTGTACCAGGGGCTCCAAAAAGTTGATAGAAAGTTTTTAATTATCTTTAAATTTCATTTTTCCCTGAACTTTTTGAAGCTCTCTCTTATAAAAATTCTACTGTTCAATCCAATAAATATTTCCTGAGTAGAGTGCCATAGTGTTTATTCTTCTTAAGTTGAAATGATAGGGCTAAGAAAAAACAAACAGGGTGATGCCTGCTTTATAGCCTCCAGAAGACTACTTGGTGTTAGAAAGCTATTGCAGGTTCCGATGTCATTTTCACTTAGGCCCTTCATCTCTCACATCCCTCTTGCCTCTCCTGCAGCTGATTGTCATCTGACAGTGTAAGGAGACCAGGAAATCCAATAGTACAGTGCAGGTTTTCAACTCGGTCATCTGCAATAGATCCCAAAAAAGAATGATATTATGGAGACACAATTCAGTGTAAATGTCTTTAAATGCTCATTTATTGAACTAGCACTGGGTTCATACTAGCAGAGGGTGAGGATTCTAGAACATTGTTCAGAGTTGTATCTTAAACAAGACAAAGAGATTCAGCTAATAAAACGCTCTGTAAATTTGGGGATTTACAGGTGAGTAAGAATCAGTTGCCAGAGAGTGTTGTGTATTAAAAATCCGAGTAAGACACTTTGTTTATATACTAGCAGTGTGAGTCTTGATCAAAATTCCTTCATGTGTATTTCAGCCTTCACCAGAGATTGGGTCTTGTTTTCAGAATTTTCAATTCATTAAAATAAGAACCGACTCTACAGTACTTTGTAATAAATGATTCTGTCTCTGGCAGTTTGCAAAACCTTCACCATGGATGTTTTTTCCTCTTGCTATCATTTTTCATATATCAACATACTCTGAATTTTGAACACAAGGATATTAGTATTATTTTCAAATTAGACCTTGGAAGAAGAGCTCCATCATTTTCTAAAACTTAATGTTCCAATATGAGACTGATTGCCTTCATTTGTAAAATATTACCATTTGAAACCATTGACTGAGCTCTTTCTCCCTCCCACCTCTACCCATTTTAGCTCCATGGTGCAATGTATGGAAGTGGAATCTATCTTAGTCCAATGTCAAGCATATCATTTGGTTACTCAGGTAATCCCACATTTCACTTATAACCTCAAATTTGCTTTGCTTTAGTTCTTTGTTGGTGTTAAATATTCTAGACATAAGTTTGTGTCATGTGATGTGACAGAAGTTTATTTGATAGATTTTTATTAAAGTCACTGATAAATATCAGACAAAATAAAAGCACACATGTGAAAGTGGATTTGCAATACTTCCCCTAGTATGTGAGACTAAGGAGTGCTGGTGGCCAAAAGGTTACATGCTTGACTGCCAACAGAAAGGTCTGTGGTTGTAATGCACCCAAATTCTGCAGGGAGAAAGCCCTGGCAATCTGCTTCTGTAAAGACTAGAGCCCAGAAAGCCCTGAGAGCAAAACCACTGTGGACTCTAGGCTTACTTAGGAGTCGGATTCAACCTGATGGCAGACAGTAACAGCAACAGGTGTAACTTGTCCCTTTTCAGTATTGTCTCCTTTTTTTCCCCTCCAGGTTTATGTAACTTCATGCTTTCTGTGGATTTATTAAACCAATTATCATAAGCTTTATCATTGCTACTTTTCATCTAGTGAAGTTTTAATATTTTTAAAAGAAAAAGTAGAAAAAGTGGAAGAAATAATAAGGTGAGGATAGATATATCACAGACATATTTTGTTTAATTAAAAAAATTTTTTTTTACTTATAATTAATGTAAAATACTGTGGTTGTGTTTTGTCGAGTCGCTCCCAACTCACAGCGACCCTCTGTAGGGTCATCTTTCTCCCATGGAGCAGTTTGTAGATTCGAACTGCTGACCTTACCTAACCCATTACCATCAACAGTTAGACTCTATAAATATACTTAAATATATATATATTACTAATATTCCATAAAGGACTCCTGGTGTGGAGCTCTAGGGTAAGTCCTAGACTGTGAATCACAAGGTTGGTCGTTCAAACCTACCAGCTATTCCTTGGAAACACTAAACAGGGTTGCTATGGGTTGGAACCAATTCCACAGCACATAGTAACAGCAATAATAATGCTCCATACAGACATTGATAGCAATGTAGAAAACTTGGAAGAAAGTTAAAAAAAAAAAAAGCACCCTCATAATTATCCTGCATATTGACATCTTATTAATAATTTGGGGAAATTGTGGGGAAAATATTTTGAAATAAGTTGAGAGCATGTGTTGAAGGTAGTCTAGTAAATTAAAAATGTGGAAAGAATGATCATCAAATTGTTAACATGGATCATTCATTATTCATGGATGGTGGAATTTGGGATGATTTCTTCTTCATGCTTTTTATTCAAACTACACAATCTTCTATAAAGTAACAAGTGGCGTTTTTTCTATAACTCTGATGTTTAATGTATTTTTCTTCAACTATTCAAAAATAACTTTGTATTCATAAGTGTTCATATGTAGCTTTGCTAGTTTGCTTTTATCTATGCTCATGTATGTATGTATATGTTTTATGTGAGAGAGAGAGAAAGAGTTTTCATGATCACATTACACAACTCCTGGAGTTGTTATTCACATAGAATAGCCTGTGTGATCAATTTCAATGTTCCATATTAAAAAAATAATAAATAAAATAACAACAACCATAGAGACTTTGATAGCCAGCTGGTCATTATCCAGCCTATCCTTCTATGCCAAAGATCATGGCTTTTAAACCACAGCAAATTGTTTTCCAATAATGGCAGAGTAAAATTGTTGTTGTTGGTTGTTATGTGCCGTGGAGTCGGTTCCGACTCATAGCGACCCTGTACGGGGTTTCCAAGGCTGTAAATCTTTACAGGAGCAGAAAGCCTTATCTTTCTCCCGCAGAACAGCTGGTAGTTTCGAACTGCTGACCTTGAGGCTCACAGCCCGATTCGTAACCACTAGAAGCACTAAAACTAGAATTATAATTAAAAATAGCAAAAACAAAAGAGAATAGCAACAATAATAAAAACCATGATGATACAATCCTGGGGAAAAGAAACATTTAAAAAATTAGAATTTGCAAGATAACATAAAAAGCTTAAGGAAATTAAAGAAAACATAAATCTAGATAACTTGTTGTTGTTGTCAGGTGACATCGAGTCAGAACTGACTCACAGCGACCCCATGCACAGCAGAACGAAACATTGTCTGATCCTGGGCCAACCTCAATACCGCCGCCACACTTGACGCCATCAATGATGTCACTTGGCTGATCCATCTCGTTGGGGGTCTTCCTCTTTTTCTCTGACCCTCCACCTTACCTAGCATGACATCCTTGTCCAGCGACTGTTCTCTCCAGACAATGTGTCCAAAGTATGAGAAACGAAGCCTAGCAATTTTTGCCTCCAAGGAGCACTCTGGTTGAACTTCTTCCAAAACACATCTATTGGATCTTTTGGCAG